TATATATATATATATCAAATGTGTCCATACAATTTTATACATGGAAAATTTTGTACTGGGTGATACTGAATTGACAAAACCATTTTTGTTGCATTAAATAAAAAGAACACAACAGCAATTGGCAAGCAACTTAATCTGTACAATAATTTGCTTTATATTGAGTTTTCACATTTGGCTATCTAGGCAGTAATGCGGTTTTTCAACAGAGTCGTACTCCGGAAATTACGGACGATGAGGAAGAAGATGAAAATGTCGAGCAGATAAACAACGGTTTGGAAGCGACATCACGTGGTTTGATTAAGGGTCCTATATTTATCAAGTTTTTCCAAGTCGGTTCTAATTTGATCTTAGCTATTATTGTTTTACTTCTGTTTATTATTACGCAATTTGTCGTCAGTTTCTGCGACTACTTTGTGCCTTATCTGTAAGTAAAATATTCTTACATTATATGGGATTTATCATCATGAAGAATATCTTGTTTTACTTAATTTTCTCTAGAATCAATATTGAAGAAGTGCGAAAGTACAAAACTAGGCTTCACTTGAATCTAACAGACGATATTTATGCAAACGAGACAAACCCGATCATCGAGAATCTGTTGCCGAAGACTACTTATATCTATATTTACACCGGCATTGTGCTGGGTATCTTCTTTATCGGCATCACTAGATCATTGGTGTTTTACAAGACATGCATCACATGCTGTCAGCGTCTACACGACATGATGTTCAACGCGTTGATCCGTACGGGAATGCGATTTTTTGACACCAACCCGAGCGGACGGATTCTTAATAGATTTTCTAAGGACATGGGCACGATCGACGAGTGGTTACCAAAGGTGATCCTCGACGCCGGTCAGATGAACTTGATGATGATTGGCTCTTTGGTAGTGACCTGCATCGTCAATCCTATTTTCCTAGTGCCGGTTATATTCATAAGCATGATTATCTATTGGATCCGGAAAGTTTACTTGAAGACTAGCAAGAACATCAAGCGACTGGAAGGAATAGCACGATCTCCGGTGTTCACTCACTTGAATGCTACGCTAAACGGCCTGACGACTATTAGAGCATACTGCGCTCAGGACATACTCAAACGGGAATTCGACAAATTGCAAGATTATCACACGTCCACTGTCTACATGTATATTGTGACCAGCACGGCGTTTGGATTTGCTCTCGACGTGTTTTGCTTTGTCTTTACCTCGTTCGTCACTTTCAGTTTTTTGTTGCTCAATCAGACGTTTTCTGGCGGCGAGGTCGGACTGGCTATTACCCAAGTAATGACAATGACTGGATTGATTCAATGGGGAATGCGACAAAGCGCGGAAGTGGCAAACCAGATGATGGCGGTGGAACGTGTACTCGAATATATTCAGCTACCGCCGGAACCGAATTTGCGTGACAGAGGCGCGTACTTGAAGAAAAAAGAGAGACAAAATCTGTCTCTGCCCGCTAGCGCTCCCAATGGCTGGCCCGACGCAGGTTGCATTCAGTTCATCAATGTCTATATGAAGTACTCGGATGACGATCCGTACGTTCTCAAGAATTTGAACATTGTAATGCGTCCCGGAGAGAAGGTATGGAAAAAAATTTAGTATGAGATAAATGGTAAATGTAAAAACATGTAAGAGTTAATGAAAATGTCCATATAATTTATTATACAGATTGGTATCGTGGGAAGAACAGGTGCTGGAAAATCGTCACTTATAACAGCTCTCTTCCGATTAGCGAAAATGGAAGGAATTATTAAGATTGACAGTATAGATACGGGTCAAATTGCTTTGGAGGATTTGCGCGGCAAGATATCTATTATACCCCAAGATCCCGTTTTGTTCTCGGGTACACTAAGACGTAATCTGGATCCGTTCAACGAGTTTTCCGATCTTGCTGTATGGGAAGCGCTCGATGAGGTTGACAAAAAAATAATTTGTACTTGATTAAAATAAAAATTTCGTTTTGTAAATCGAAGGTGAAACATTTCATTCTGGATAATATGCTGCAGGTCGAGCTAAAAGACGCGGCTGTTATCAATAATGGTCTGGAAAGTCGCGTGTTTGACAGAGGTAGCAACTACAGTGTCGGACAGAGGCAACTTGTGTGTTTGGCAAGAGCTATTTTGAGGAACAATCGTATTCTGATGTTGGACGAAGCGACCGCTAATGTGGATCCTCACACCGACGCGTTGATTCAGCGCACCATCAGGAAGAAGTTCGCGACCTGTACGATGCTCACGATAGCGCATCGATTGAACACTATAATGGACAGTGACAAGGTTCTGGTGATGGATAAAGGTCGCATGGCTGAGTATGATCATCCCTACGTGTTACTGCAAAACAGTCAGAGTCAATTCACGTCATTAGTGAGAGAAACCGGTCCGGGTATGTACGAGCAATTGACCAAGGTAGCGAAGCAAGCGTATGACGTCAAGTACGGGGAAACATGATAACGCATCGGACGAACGACATGAAGCTTTTTTGTTAATTCGAGTTTTCATATTCTTAATCTTGATAGTAATGAAAGTAAATAATTAAACATATAATTGTAGGTAAATTTGTACGCAAAACATATAGGAAAAAAATTAAAAGGAAAGGAAACAAATCATTATAGCATAAATAAGAGTGAAGTTTACCTACAGAAGAGGAAAAAATTATTTGCATGTTTTCTAAGATATTTTCAAACACAAGCGCGACACTGCAGCTAGTATAACACATGTTCGCGATGCTGAATGTATTTCTATGTAAAACTATGTTGAATTATTATATATAAATCTATATCAAAAGAATCGTATTTTTATATCGTATCTAATAATGGTTATTGCGTTGAGGTATTTTTCTCGTCAAGTACAAGTTTTTCAAAATAAAAAAAAATAATAATAAAAGAAAAGAAAAGATTTACTCATATTTTTCTACTCTACGCTTCGTATACTTCCAGAAACTATAAACGTTTCTCGCTTTATGTGATAAGCATTTGCGTTTACATAAATATACATGAACATACATAAAAACGAACTGACTGACAAAGAAAAGATTTCATTATAAGCGATATAAAGAATAGATTTCATTATATGCGCAAAACTCAAAGACGTTACGCGTTACATAAGTTTGATTTAATTTTTATCATAATTTTGAAAAGATTTGCAATTTATTGTGTATCATAAAAACAATAATAAATATGTGTACAATAACTAATGCGGATAATCTTGTTTTATGTAATTTTAAAAAGAAAGAAGAATGCGTTTGGTTTTTAATGTTTATCTTAGTATTATATTTCTTTTATAGTAGAATATACATACTAGAAAACCGTGTATGTGTGATGTGTAAAATTTTTATAAACAATTTCTCATTTTATTTCTTATAATTATATTTCTTATCATTTTTGGTAAAACAAAAATTATAAGAAATAAAATAAATACCTAAAACATAACATTTATATTTATCATCAACATCATGAACATTATAGTTTTGGATTTTTTTTAGATATTTTGTTAGACTTAGACTGTAAATAAGTCATTAAAAAATTGAGTAAAATTTTGCAGTCCAGTAACGACACTATAAAACATTTCATCTTAACTGGAATGTTTAACAAACGCTAGGAGTACTTGCTCTTTGTTATCGTTGCAGAGAAAAGAACTCAATATTTTTATAAACTGTATTTATAGAATATAATAACTGCAAGCATCTCTCTTATATATTATTTATATATTGTACATGTTATTTGTATATTATTTTGTCAAAATATAAATAAAATAAGTATTAATGAAAGTATATGCATAAATGATATGTAAATAATGTAGTATTAAATAATGCGCAGTAGCAATATTACAGATCAATTCTAACAAAAAAAAGAAAGACATTGTTTCTCAAACAAAAACAAAAGAAATATATCAATAAGACAACATTCTTATAGCATTTGATAAATGTGAAGAATAGATTTCAGTACCAACACAAAATCGTTACGCGTTACATAAGTTTTTTACTTAAGTTTTGCCACAATTTCGAAAAGAGTTGCAATTTAGTCTGTAATATAATACTCACTTTTATAAGAGTGTTAAATCCTTATTGGTCTATTCCTTTTTTTGATCAACTTTAACGTAATATATTTCTATTGTAGTCCTGATAAAAAACCATTTACAAAATTATGTGACAAAATCTTGCACTAAAATTGTAATTTGCAATTATACAGGCATATTTTAGGAAATAGATGTAAAAACATTGATTTTTTCTGAAATATTCCCAGATAGCACAGGATGTCTTATGGACGTTCGTTCTATGTCTATTTTATGGTCACGTCCGCGGACATGAATTCCCATACAGCACAAAACGATTGCAGGAATATTGCAGAAATATTTCATTGCACGATTGCAATATTGCAAGTACGTTGCAAAATATCACAGTAACATTATTGTGACACTACAGCAACGGTAAAATGTCCGCCTTTAGAAATTGCAACATAATATCATA